GGACTGCCAGAGATTCCGACGGGAGATCGCTCTATTTCAAAGGCTGTGCTGGCTGGCGAATGCATCGACTCTTCGACGGCATGTTGATGTGACAGACTGGGCGCGAATGGGTAATCCGGCATGGACGTTACGGATCCTACCCTGTCCTTCCGTGTAGTCGAGCCATCACTTGCCATGACGCTGTCGCTACCACTGCCAGTATTACTGCCGCCAGGAGTAACACTAGCACTGCTGCCATGATGAACTCTGGTAGCATTGGCATCCAGCTTCAAACGTTTAGTACCATTCTTGGCAGCTTCCAACGACTGTTAGCGACCCCTCCAGATCAGCGTACGTGGTTTGCACCATTCAGTCACGTACCTTGGTTTTGGTGAAGCTGCTTCTGCTTGAAGTCATGGAGATACTGGGCATACTTCTTGTAGTCGTATGTTTTCTTGTACTCTGCCAGATCTTGGTTGTACTTTTCCTTGGCGTTCAATGCCTGTGTCTCGAAGGGCTCCTTTTCGACAGGTGACAGACTCTGCCAATTCTCTCCTACAAGCTTTGCGATCTCGGTAAAGGTTAGATTGCGACCCTTTAAGTCATCGCGCATTTCTACAGCTTGTTAACATTGGAGTGCCTTCCACGACTCATTGCAGGACGTACTATTTGAGAACAACACATATGCGGACGGCGGCCTCTCGGGTGCATTCTCGTCCGGCTATACTCATGATCAGTGTTCGCCTGCTATGCTCGGGCCGACAAGCACGTACCTTGGGGTGTCGTCGGTACTTTCGCTTCGTAACGACAGCAATGTCCTTCGAATCTTGCTTGATCGGTTCTGGTTTGGTATTTTCTGTACGAGTATCCTCAACACTTGCTCGGATAGGAGACACAAGTGAGGCATCTGGGGCCAGCCCTCTCGAGTTCGCAATCCGCCTTTGAAGTTTCTGCACAATTGTGTCAGCTTCAAAAAATCGTCAACAAGATCGACGAGCATTCCTTACCCTTCGGTGGCCTAGCTTCACTCCCAGAGCATCGCTGCAAGCCATGTGGATCAGCATATATCCTGTACAACAGAGTGTTGCCCAAACACTCACAGGTCTGATTCTGTTATATCCAAGATGGTAGCCCATGTATCGAAGCCTTGCTCGACGAAGGTATCCAGGTATTGCAAGATCCCCAACTCCGCGAAGATCGTGCCCAAGCCTTGGGCCATGCAGACGGATTTTACCGACGGCGTCGGTGCCCGCTTGTGGTCGGTTGATTCCTTGTGTCTTCGCTGCCTTTCGACTGGCGGCGTTTGGGTGTATTGTGTGCTCCTTCAATCAATCATCCGTCTTTGAACTTCGAATGTTCTATTTGATGGGTCGATTTGTGGTTGATCAATGTACAGCAGGGAGGCTATGTCGTCGTCGATCGATCAATGCGTTCTCTTTTCGTGTGGCTGAATATGCGACGTCTCTCAGAAGTCAAAACACTGCGATTGTGCTGGCTGTCGAAATCGGTTGTTCAAGAGCCCAGCTAGATGTCGACAGAATGCTCGATCTGATTTCGGATTCCAGGTGTTTCGAAAATGGCAGCGACGTCGTGTTTGTCAAATGAAAGTGGTCGTGGATCGTGTGGTCTGGTTGTGGGAATGGCAATCATCAGCAGGTGTGTCGGTGGCCAGTCTTGTCACAACACCCAAAATGGTATGCGGCAGACGTGTTGTGGATATACCCAACGGTTGGTCGCAACGGAGGTGCAAGATCTCGATGACATGGTCGAGCAGACCGAGTGCTCGGTTGTGGAGACACACGCTAGATCGACCAAAGAGGAAAGGCTCTGAGATCATGGTGGGATATGCATGTGCAGTCCAGAGGTCCATCTGAAAAGCAGCGGCAAGTTGCCAGCCAGCCATTCGACCGCCCTCTCCCCCGAAACTGGCTGAAGAGGATATTGTGTACACCCCAAACCAAAAGGAAGTACGCACATTGACTTACCTGGGAAGATTGGTGGAGCTGATCATAGGACTTGGGGTTTCGGAGAATGGCCGGATGCTGGAACAGAGAGCAATGGATCCTCTGGTCAGGGTCGGGAAACCAAACACAGGTCGAGATGCGTAACAAAATTGACAGACAGCAATAGACCCCGTGTTCAGAGAGAGAGGGAGGGAGGGAGAGAGGAGTAGCTGGTGCGGTGCTTGGGGCACAAATTCGTCGCCTGGTGTATTTCTTGAGGGAGGGATGGCAGTGAGCCGGAACTGATGATGAGGTAGGCGAGCCGGCGTACAAGCAAGGTACCGAGTCTGGCGGATCTACTCTTACAGGGGTCAGAGTCTCTGTCAACCATCCGTGGGACGGCGTTTGGGCAACGGAAGGGCAGTCGACCATCCAAATATGCACCTGACGATGAAGAAGACTGGCAAAACTGGCCAGGGGACTCCTGGTTAGTTGAGCCAAGACCGGCTGCCTGAGATGGGGCTAAATCACTAGGTTTCCGTCGCTCGCAACGCAAGAACGGACTCAAGACTGTACGTACATTCTGCACACCCATAGGGACACGGGGACAGTGAGCACTCTTACAAGGGGGTGGGCGTGCACATAGTCGGAATCTCCACACACGACAACATTCGTGGCAAGGATTCGGCCAAGAAGCCACCAGGAACCTACCTTGTGGGTTCTCCGACCAGACGATGTCTCATCGCACAGGCGCCGCCTGGTATTCAATAAAGTTGTCGAAGGCACTTCTACATCTCGAGAGACAACAAGGCAAGACAAACGGGAAAAACCAACATCTCGATCTTGCTGTTTAACAACCTAAGGTTGGCCTGACATCATATTACCTCGAGAAACCGAAGCTTCTCGCCAGTCAGAAACACACGATCGGACAACAGTGGAGCCTGGAGCAACGGACTCCACGCTCCGCCTGCACAGTCAATGAACGGTGCGCAAGAGTAGATGGAGCAGACATCACCAGAGGAAAACCACGAACTGGCTCTCGATTGTCCGTCAAGGGCAAAATCTCGATTTGCATCGACTTCAAGGGCATTTGGTGTGATTATCGAAGTGTGGAAACGTAAAGAAAAGCACGCCGGAGACAGTGTGGTTGTTTTGCTAACACGACACCCCCAGTCGATTGGTGGTGGTCGGTAGGCCAGCTGCAAGTGACCAATTATGTGAGCATGCTGCAGAACCAAGCGTCGCGCATCGAACTTTTGAGTCTGGATCGAGAACATCTG